CTCTCTCTCTCTCTCTCTCTCTCTCTCTCTCTCTCTCTCTCTCTCTCTCTCACACACACACACACACACACACACACACACACACACACATACATGCATGCATATCAGTCAAGTGGATTCTGGGCAGACTGTCGGGGTTCAACCTCCTGATGAGTCGGTGAACGTTCGCTGAAACAGTCTGTGCGGCCCACTCATGCTTTTCATTGTGGAGTTGTGTACAGCGAACATGACAACACGCACTCACGATATGACGACTACGGGTGCAGGCCTAGTCCCCTCCAACGGTGCAGCCCCCCTCCTCCCATCAAATTCCCCGCAGATGTGACGGCTGCGGGTGTATCCGTATGTAGCCCAGATGTGAAGGCTACCGTGGGGCTGAATTCGTTATCTCCCCTCCCAGAGGGTGGACCACCCCTTCTAATAATTCCCTACACATGGGATGACTACGGTCTTCACCCGAATAGAACGCCCGGTCATTATCGCTGCATCCAGTCTGAAAGTCGCACCAAATGCATCTATAATCACCGTGCGTTCTTTTCGAGTGAAGACGGTAGGGGTGAAGCGGTAACCCTAAACCCTAACCCTACACCCCCGAGGCAGGCAAGCCCGCGGCCAACAGCCAAGCCAGAATCAGGCATCAGGTGAACGCAACGCACCCATCAATTATCAGGTAAAAGCGCCCCCCCCCCACCCCCACCCACCCAACCACCTTGTCTCCTCTCACTCCGTCCAAGCACGCTCACCCCTGCCAAGAAAGATGATGAAAAGCAATCAATAAAAAGGAAAAAAAAAAGGAAAAAAAAAGAGGAAAAACAAGAGAACGACTCCCGCTGCCCACCCAACGCCTTCGCTGACCAATGGGCCCATGTAGCTCAGTTGATACAACCCCGAACTGTTGAAATACACAATCAAAAAAAAAAAAAAAAAAAAAAATTCCAGTTCCGACCCAGAAACAATCAGATGCCCAGAATGACATAAATTACATAATATTTGAGTGCCGAGTAGACAATCATTCTGATTAGTCATCATCTATCTCTATTTCATGACCTCAATCATCCACTCTACCATCCTGAATCATCCTAAATGATCTTAAATGATCCTCAATCATCCCAATTCTTTTATCATCAATGATCATCAATCATCAATGCATTTCCATTATAAGGGACGCTGGGTCCGGTTCCCAGCACATGCTGCTCCCCACGATTAGATTGGAGCAAATTAAAAAAAAAAATAAAAAAAAAAAAATATATGATTAATATCTGAATTTCCCCGGGCCAGTCAGCTTCAATGATGATATCTCAAGGCCGTCGCCCTTTCAAGCAAAAGAAAAGAAAAGAAAAGAAAAAAAAACAAAAAAAAAAACAAAAAAAAACAGCCTTCGCTGAGTGATGCTCCCCAGGGACGGGGCAATCCTCTAAGCCCACCCTTCACCTCGCTACTCTATCAGCTGCAACCTCGAGCGGGCCAAACAACCCTAAGCACCCGGGCCCCGCCCCGGCCTCCTTCC